TGCCCCCAATCCGTCCCTCTCCTGGGCCAAAATCTTCCGTGTGACCAGGGCCACAGAAGAGAAGCCAATGTTGGATCAGGCCAATGGCCCATCCAGTCCAACACTCTGTCACACAGTGCCATCAGTGGGGCCAGGACACTAGAAGCCCTCCCACTGTTGCCCCCCCCCAAGCACCAAGAATACAGAGCATCACTCACCCCAGACTGAGAGTTCCTATCTATTCCTTGTGGCTAATAGCCACTGATGGACCTCTGCTCCATATGTTTATCCAATCCCTTCTTGAAGCCATCCATGCTTGTAGCCGCCGCCACCTCCTGTGGCAGTGAATTCCATGTGCTAATCACTCCTTGGGCACCTGGTAGATCTGTTCTCTCTTTTCAAAATGTGGTGTTGGAGAAGAGTTTTACATAGGGGATGCTAGAAAGACAAATAAGCGGGCCCTAGATCAAATCAAGCTTCAATTCTCCCTAGAAGCTAACATGACCAAGCTGAGGCTATTGTACTTTGGTCACATCATGGGAAGACAAAAGTCACTGGAAAGGACAATAATGCCAGGAAAAGTTGAAGGCAGCAGGAAAAGAGGAAGTCCCAACACGAGATGGATTGACCCAATCAAGGAAGCCACAAAGGCCCTCAGTTGGCAAGACCTGAGCAAGGCTGTTAGGGATAGTACGTTTTGGAGGTCATCAATTCACAGGGTTGCCAGAAGCTACTTGTTGACAGCCCATTAAAAGAGGTACTTTTCTCCCTTTTCCACAATACAAGAACTGATGGGTACTCAATGAAATTGCTGAGCAGTCGGGTTAGAACAGATAAAAGGAATTCCTTCTTCACCCAAAGAGTGATTAACACATGGAATTCACTGCCACAGGAGGTGGTGACAGCTACAAGCATGGATGGCTTCAAGAGGGAATTGGATCAACATATGGGGCAGAGGTCCATCAATTGCTATTAGCCACAAGGTATAGATAGGAACTCTCAATCTGGGGCAAGTGATGCACTGTATTCTTGGTGCTGGGGGGGAGAAACAGTGGGAGGGCTTCTGGGGTCCTGGCCCCACTGGTGGGACCTCCTGATGGCCCCTGGTATTTTTGGCCACTGTGTGACACAGAGTGTTGGACTGGATGGGCCATTAGCCTGATCCAGCATTGGCTTCTCTTCTGTTCTTATGATTACAAAGATCTGTGAAGCCTCATTCAAAACAGTATTGGCTCTATTTCAGCTTTTCTCCCTGGAAACATAGTTTGAGACACGTCTTGGCCGGACAAGTTTTAGCTTGTCTGCAGGCAGCTCTTCTGAGTAAGGAACTGGATGAGAAACAGGAAACAGCAGCACCTTTGCCCTCCTAAGCAGCCAAAGACCTTTCGAAACTGCAAGCCTCCCTTCAAGCACTGCCATCCATCTGCAATAAGAGGGCATCCTTGCTTCATCACATCTCGGGCTTTTTCGGTGAAAGAACCCACACCAATACACCCAAGTCAGCTCAGTGCCTTCTGTGCCCAAGCCACCCTCTGCCATGCCTGGTGAGGCAGCAGCCAGGCACCTGGGTCTGGATCCAGTTCCCCTCCTCCCGGCTGCCATCAGCAAGGCCAGAGGGAGGCGAGGAAGCAGCCAGGCACCCCTCCAGCACATCCGGATCCAGTTGCAGATCAGAGCCCCTTCCTCCCAGGTACCAACAGCCCTGGCTGAGGACAGAGGAAGCCACTGAGCACCCTTAGAGAACCACCGTGGTGCAGAGGCTTTGGACTAAGGACTCAGCAGGAGTCCATATTTTCTTTTGTGTTTTAAAACAGCATTTTTCCCCCTCTTGCAAACTTTGCATTGCTGGTATTATTTTTCCCTCACCAAGGGTCAAAGTAGGCCATGATGAGAACCTTCTTCCAGCAAGAAAACAGTAGAGAAGGAAAGGGTTAATGTTTCCCTCAGCACCCTCCCCCCCCCACACACACACACCATTCTTCTCCATGATAAAGCAACCCTGGCAGCTAAAGTTGCAAAAAAGGGCAGAGATGCTTAAAATAAGCACAGAAGGCACCATGAACGTGCAGTTGAGCCATAAGGCTGAACAGAGGCCCAAATTCAAATCTTCAACCCTGCCATGAAGCTTACTGGGTGATCTTGGGTCACTGATTCTCTCTCCTTACACTAGACTGCAGGCACAGATCTTTGCTCAAGTACAAGGGCAGCTGGCCACTTTTGGCTTTTAAGGTGCATGGGTGGATTAAGAATGAAATACACTTGTACCTCGATTAGGGGCGCCTACTTCTTCTTATTCTGGTCTTCCGTTTTGCTGTTCCGCCTGCTTCTCTCTTACAGCTGTCCACGTTACTGGGTGCAGAATTTCCCTAACCTCTCTGTGAAGCAGGTGCGGAGACGTACAGGCATCATGATGACTCTGGCCAACCTGTCCAGGTCTAGAGCTGCTTTCTGCGTGGCTGGCAAAGCTTTGTCAGAAGAACCCAGAAATTCACAGCTTCCTGAAACGGAGATCTCATTTAGCCTGGATATTGTACATTTAGGGAGGAAATGGTCAAAACCAGTTGGAAAGGTTTCTTGTTAACGGCAACCCAAACTAAGAGCATTCAAGACTTACAGGTGTACAGACGTGCCATCCAAAGCAAAGTCACACTCTTCAAAGCTTTGAGTGGCACTAGAAAAGTGGCAGAACCTTTTGTGGACTTGAGACCAAGGTTAGGGTTAGGGTTAGGGTTAAGTTGTGTGAGGCCAGAGTTTCAGCCAATTTGATCAAAGTTTGTTGGTCTGAAAGGTGCCACTTGATGCAAACTTTGCTCTGCTGCTTCTGACCAACATGGCTACCCCACCCAAATCTATTGCAATCATCCTTATATTTATCACAGAGAAAATCAGAAGCCTCCTTTTATTTTATATCATTTTTCTTCTTTGTTTTTTTATTCCCCTGTTATTTGTTATTCTTTCTTTTAATAAAAACTTGTTATAAAGGTGAAAACAGTCCCTTACATTCTTTCTGCCCATTTGTAACTTGTTTCTTGCATTACTAACAATGCAGGGGGGTTTCAAACATTACACAGAGATAGAAAGTAACTGATTTATATAAATAATATACACATATTTAAATAAGTCTCCAGGTACTGGAAATACACAGGGTTGTCAGCTGGCCCAGAGAAAGATGTCCTGTTCAGCTGGCCCAGAGAAAGATGTCCTGTTCCTTTAATAGTAGTTTAATGTGCAAAAATGTGTAGGTGAAGCTTTTCATGACATGGATGTAAATTGCAACATCCCACTAAGCCTCACTTAAAAGAACAGGCCTGTGAGCAAAACTAGAAATGTCAGAAACAGCTTTCCTGAAGGAGTTTAAAGAATAAATTAACTTTGTATTGAATATGTGAAAATACCAAATGACTACTGACATATTAACAAGTCAACAGTCAACAGATTACTTATAGGAAAGATCTATAAAATCACAGCATCTAAACATCCTTCCTAACAGAAAATCAATTAACTACCATGTGCCTTTAAACACCCCTTCCTTAAAGCCAATGCATTGCGCAAATTCCAAAATCTACTACCCATGAGATCAGGTTTTTATAAATTTGTCTCAAGCGACTTGAGTCAAGTCCAGTTTTTCCCCAGAAGGTATATTTTTATAAACTGCCAAACCCTACATAGCCCGTATCTTTTAACTGGAAGCATTTCCTGTTTTCAGACGTCAACCAATATCACAGCTGGCTGCAAACACACACACACGAACGATGCAATGAATAAATAATTACTTAAAACGGCATGATCTTTCTAAAATGACTGTGGACACGTCATAATAATTAAACCACGGGAAAGATCAAATGCTGCATATCCTACAATAGATAGTATTTTTAAAAAACAAAAGCAGGTGGCAGTTCGGTTAAGTCGAAAGAGTCTCACCAAGAAGTTCACTCGAAGGCCCTTTGCTTTTTCTTGGAAATATCAAAAAAAGCGGGGAAAGGTATGAATTGGGTTATCTGCAAGCGCTCCGATGCCCTGCGTATTCCTCCTGCAGTTCTTTGGAAAGAAGTAAATAAGGGTCCTGCTTCTTGCCGACATTTTCATCAAAAAATAGCCTGCGAAACCGAATCGCCTGATTCATCAGGCTGCTGGTCGACTACTCTCTCTTTTTAAAAAACTAAACGGATTCCGGTGGGGTGGGCGCTGATCTTATGCATGTTTAAAGGTAAAGGTTCCCTTGCTCGAAAGCCAGTCGAATCCGACTCTAGGGTTGCTGTGCTCATCTCCGTTTCAAAGCCGAAGAGCCAGCGCTGCCCGAAGACGTTTCCGTGGTCATGTGGCCGGCATGACTAAACACCAAGGCGCACGGAACACTGTTACCTTCCCACCGAAATGGTACCTATTTATCTACTTGCAATTTCTTGCTTTCGAACTGCTAGGTTGGCAGGAGTATACATGTTTACTCCAAAGTAAATCCCACTAAAACAAGAGTTCTGTGGCTTATCGAAAAAGCTTGCCAACCTCTAGGTGCGGCCTGGAGTTCTCCCGGGATCCCTCCAGGATTTCCCAAGAGGAAATTGCATCGCGCATCCCCGCTGAGCTAATCCCCGCTGACTCTGACCCCAGATCTACAGGAGTCCCTATTGTGCTGGCTTTCTACTTGCAGGGAGCGGGTTTTTTAAAAATACAAATAGATCAAAATGGGTCGCCGTGTTAGCCCGTCTGTAGCAGCAGAGAAGAGTCAAGAGTCCCCAGGAGCCCCTTAAAGTCTTTAAGGTGCTTCTGGACTCTTGCTCTTTTCCTGCAAAGGCAGTTGACGACAGCGCCGTTTCTCTCTGCTCGCCCAAACCCACGCGAATTCCAGCCGCTGCTCTTTTTTAATCCCCTCTCCCCTTTTGCAATCCGAATTCGGTGGCGTTCTCACTGCCGCCTTTGGCGTCAGCGCGCCCAGCTTGGCTCTGGATTCAAACCAGGCAGCCTCCGCCTCCAGCTCCGCCCTTGCAGTTGGGCGTGATTGACCGTCCTCAGCCTCTCCTTCCCGGCTACCTCTGGAGGACGCTTCCTTTGGGCTCCGTCGCTTTGGAATCTTCCCCTTTCCTACTCCACGGGACGGGTGAGTCCAGTTAGCCCCACGCGTTCTTTTCCCCCAACTTAGAAGTGGCACCGCTTCTTGCCAAGCCAACTCGTATGTCTAAGGTTGAAACCCAGCACGTATTCTACCCCCCCAGCCGCATGCTGTAATCATATATAAAGGAACGAGGCAAAGGGTGCCTCTGCGCACGTACAAGGTGCCTTTCCACACGCCCTTGTGTGATGGAGCAGCTCTTGCTTGGCTCGGAGAAAGCAAAGGACCCCATTGCAAAACGGACTTGAACTCAGGGCCCTTTTTGGCTGTTTTTCTTCAGGCAAAACAACTTAAGCGTTATTCCCCTCTAGTGGTAATGTTTTCTTTCCTCCCTCCCCTACCTGCAAATATTCATCTTAGCACGGCCCCAAAGCATTTTGAACTTTCCTAGTTGTGCTGGTGGTTTTTACAGTATGAGCGTTCTGTTGGGGGTGACCAGTTTCCCATTTTAGAACCTGAATTTTTCAGTAGATTTGGATTTTAAACAAAGAAACAGAAACCTTATTCCTCCAAACTGTAGATCACCATCAAGCAAAAATGTTTTAAAACAACATGTTTAGGATTTCAAAGGCACATTGTTATTAACTCTGCCTTCTTGCGTCATCTGCCCCTTTGGTAGGCCCCCTGTTGAACATGTTGTGGGGGGGTGCTTGCCAGTGAGCTACAGGTCTCAGGGGTGAGCACTGCTTATGGTGTGTTAACTAAGAGCACTCCGTCCATGTGTAAAGGTGCGTTAGTTCTCATTAGCTCTTGTAGTCCAGAGCTGGACCATAGCCAGAGTAAATAGTCTGGAAACTGGCCCAAAATTAAATCTGGCTAGGCCCAAGTATGCCAACTTGGAAAAAGGTTTTGGAAAAGGATCCCCTGCACGTTGTTATGACCAGCTTGAGTTCTACATAGAATAAGGAGTATTTTTCTCTCTGTGTCAATATTTGGCGATATGGCGTAGATGCCCATCAGCCAAATTTTCTTTCAACTGCGTGAACTCATTTTCCATTTTGTAGTTCCTTCCCATTGGAGTTTACAAAGTTTGTTCAGGATTTGGCAGTGACTGGTGACTTCTTTTTTTAAGTTAAGGTGTTGATCTTTTATGTTTTTGTTTATGTTAAGGAGAATAAAACCAGCCAGCATATGCGAAGCTGGAGTCACCTGGAGACAAATTTAGATTAGCCATAGGTGGCTGTACCGGTGGTATGCTAAGAGATGTATATGGTGCAATACCAGACAACCAGTTTGGTGTAGTGGTTAGGAGCGTGGACTCTAATCTGGGAGAACCGGGTTGGATTCCCCACTCTTCCACTTGCACCTGGCTGGATAACCTTGGGCAAGCCGTAGTTCTGATAAGAGCTGTTCTTGAAAGAGAGCAGTTTCTGTCAGAGCTCTCTCAGCCCCACCTACCTCACAGGGTGTCTGTTGTGGGGAGGGGAAGGGAAAGGAGTTTTAAGCCGCTCAGAGACTCCTTCAGGTAGTGAAGGGTGGGGTATAAATCCATTTTCTTCTTTTTCCTCTTCCTCCTTGCTTACAAATAAGCAAGTTTAAGACCGGCCTAAATGGGAATGTATGGCCGAGTTCAGACTGGCAGTTTGGCCCGGCAGCCAAACGTTTCAGAAGCGTTTCAGTAGCGGATTAAAGAGGCGGGGTCACACAGGCACATCTTTCAGGCGTCCCCCAGCCGTACGCCAGCCGTCTTGTGCTGCTTCCCTCCCGAGTTTAAAAAGTATCAGGTGAGAGTGGTAGCAAATCATGTGTAGAGTGGGTTGATTCCGGTTCCCTGAGTGTGAACGCAAGCGCTGCTAAGGCGGGAACAACTCGCAGTCCTTGATAAGAGGAGCTGGCTGTTTCCGCAGCAGACTGTCAGCTATGCTGCCATGGGGGTTGGGATAGCTAGGCAGAGTCAGTGTAAGTGCTATTGCATTCCTTTCTGTGCTTCACACTGAAATGCTTATCTGTAACGATGTGCAGGTGGGAGTTGTGTTTGCTTTTTTCCAGGGAGCCGTGGGAGAAGGCGAGTTCCCAGCTTCGGCTCGAAACTGTTTGCTAGCTTTATCCCGTGTGCGGGAGGGTGCCTAATTGGCCAGTGGAGTGGGGGGGTGCATACGAATACCCTATATCTTATTATGTCCAAGGGGCAACTGCCATTCTTAACAGTTACTATGTTAACGCACCTATAGCTCTTCAATAAAAATATAACCTTTCCTTAAAGCGTGTACTCTGTTGTTGGCTGTGGGTTCTGACACAGACGCCCATGCACATAGGCGCATGCAGCAGAGCGCAGAAGCAGCCGCTAACAGCCCACCAGGGGTGGGCCAACAGTGCAAACGCTCCCTTGCGCTTCCTCCACGGTATCCTCCTGCTTCATTCGCTGCAGTGTGAATGGGAATACCGCGACCAAGCCGTTCCAGGTCTGTTCCGGGTCTTGTTTGACATGACTCCCTAGTGCTTTAAATTGCCAGTCTGAACTCAGCCTATGAATGTGTTGGGGTGGGAAGAACAGGAGGGGATCCAAACCACATGTCTGATCTTTTGAAGAGGTAACCTTGTCCATAACTAGAGCATTAGTGCTTAGTAGCATAAGGAAGAAAAGTGGCAGGTCTCTGCCCCAAGGAGATTACAGTCTCAATTGCAGCAAGGTAGGGTCAGCATCAGCCCCCACTGACTTGCTACTTTGGGCGATCGTTAATTCTGACAGCCCCCACCTTTATCTTTGTAGGGCCCATTACAAACACACACCTTACTGCAGATTTTCAGAGCAGTAAGCCTTTAATCTTGAATTCTTTTTCATCCGGCGTATTTATTCTGCAGCTACAGTTTTTAAAAAAAACAACACTTTTCTAAATCAGGGTGGAACATCACTTGTGATGTGGGGGGTGGCATCCAAAGGTTTTTTTTTTTTAAAAATACACACTTGCCCTATTGCAGCTGCGCAGTAGCGTGCAGCGAGCACCTTCCATTTAAAACCTCGTGGTTCAGGCGCTGCACATGCATTTTAACCTTAGTTGGTTGAATGAAAAGGAACTGAAAGGAAGGCTGGCAAAGGGGGGAACCCCCACTGTTGAAACTGACCAGACTTTTCCTGAAATTGACAAGCATCTATGAAGCCTAGTTTCCCATATAGCTGAGCACTAGGGGATTCTCTGCTGTGTTATCGGCCACAGTGGAAAACAGGAAAGAATCACAGGATCTTATAATATGGGGGAACATGTTGAATGACACTGGCACTGCAAGTTGTGATTGCTGGCAATGTGTGTGTGCACATGCCCCTGTGCAAGGTCGGCTGCAACTCCACCAAACTTTGCACAGGGCTGCAATTTGTATGGGGGAGGAGTCCTCTGGCAGAAGCTCTGAAGAGATCTTAGTCTTGTGCCACTAAATTGGGGGGAAAAATGGGGGGATGTTTTCCCTGATGCTCTAGCACAGCTGCATAATAATGCTAATATCCTGCCCTTCCTTGCAAATTTGCGTGGTTTTATCTTTGTGATTCTCCAAGTTGATCCTGCACACTGGTTGTGATCTTGGCAGTTTTTTTAAAGCCTGTCCTGTGCAGCTTGCCCTCTATCCTCCAAATCAATCATTCCCAAGCGATTGTTAAGTTTGGCAGTTTGCAGGAGGTCCGTGTGGCTCAGCCACCATTTTAATGTTAGCCTTCCAGAGACTGCCAAAATAGTCCCGTCCCCCCCAAGCTTTGTTCACTAAAGCATGAAAGGGAAAAATGTTTTCAAAACTTTAGGCTTCCCATCCCCCGTCTCTCTCTCTTTACATCTCATGTCAATTTCATTCCACACTGACCATCCCCACCCTTTATTTTGTTTGCATGCAGCACTAAAATCCATATATATATATATATATATAGCACTGGGGACGCTGCCATTTGCCTCCTCTCCGATACCCCTTTAAAGTCAATACCAGCAGGGAACTAAACCTCACGCAGCTTGTAGACCGATAAATGGGGAAGGATGGCAGAAAGTGCAGAGTGGGTGGAACAACCTTGATGTGGGTGGGGTGTAAACTTCAAGGGGTGGCAAAAGGGTGGGGGGAATCTGAGGGAATGTATACGTTTTTGAATGGCCTTTGTCTTGGAAGTGAAACAAGGGGAAAATTGGCACAAAAGTACTCTAAGAAAACCCAAAGAAACAGCAACCAGGAAGCAAACTGAGTGCCGCAGGAAGGGAAATCGATGCAGAATGACAAAGAAAACCCGACGGACGTGCATGATGAAAGCGAGGGAAAGCACCCGTGCATGATAGGCCTAGGTGAGGGGATTCTGTTCCCCTTCACAAATTTATTTTCTTTTTCCCAAGGCTTTGAACACTGAAAGTGCTATGTAAATACGATTGTTATTCTGTTTCCAAAATACACGATAGTAGATGGAGCAGGCGGATGAGCCAGAATTTGGGGAGTTGTGGGGAGGAAAGACGCAACTGTCCCCTGCCGCAGACCTTCTTCTGTTCTGTGGGGTGGGGAGTAGATGGGGAAACTGTTCTTCCTCTCTTGAGGGCTTGGATGTCGTCACCCCAGGTCCCCAACATTTTTGAGTCTGTGGGCTCCTTTGAACGTTTGACAGAGCATGGTAGGCTCAGCCACAAAATGGCTGCCACTGGAGTGTAGCCAGCAGCAAAATGGCTGACGCAGCTATCTTTCAATCACATGGTGAAGATCCTTGTGCTGTGGTGACATCTTCTGCCAAAGCAACTTTTAAAAAATCTGCACAGTCAATCAAATCTCCAATGCCCAATCAGAAGCCTTGCCGGGCAAAAGCCCCACCTGGCCCCGCCCACTTGGCAGTCCCCAGGAAAGATGTCGGGGGTGCAGTGGGGGGGCATCACATTGGAGACCCCTCCCCCAATCAGTCAGCTCTTCTGCTTCTTGGATTGGGTTGGTTCTGCGGCGGAGAGGTATACAACAGACAAGAGCAGGAAGCGGATTTCGGTTTGGTTGGGGAATGAGAACAAAGAAATGGAATTTCACAACAAAGTAAAAGGTGGGGGTGT